GGCCATAGAGTTTCCATAGGGAGCTTGTGTGTGAAGAGTCAACTGGTTCATTGTAACAGATGCCTCTGTTCCTGAAAGTCACTATAAATAAAACCACACAGTCAAACAGAGCAGAGATGGACAAGACAATGGAATTGACAGAGGGAACGCTGGAAGAGACAAAAACAGAGATGAGCAGATAGTTACATTCCATAAATTTAGAATACTGTACATCTGGACATGATGTGATGCAGTCAGATTTGGCCCTGTGCAAATGTTTTAGAGACTATTTTAAATGTAGCTTCCACAAACCAGCCATAAATTAGGTCATTTTATTAATTAAGCATGATTTGAATGGAGACTTGCAACTCTTATGTTTTATTTGTAGTCCAGGACTCTGTTGTTCATTAGTGTTTCTCTGGACTGAACAAGTACACACACACATACACATGATATGCACACAGAGGCACAGGTACGTTTAGTCTGACCACCTGAGCAGAGTTAACGGACTGTGGAAACAGTGAGAGCGTTCTCCGGGGGTCTTGTCAGGCTTTGATCGTTGGTATGTACTGAATGTGGGGGTCAGGGATAATAGATCTGGGGCTGACAGGGGTGAAGAAACATGAAGGGAGAGGAAGGGAGAGGGAGAGAGAGATAGTCACTAAAAAAAAGCCAACTTTGGCATTGAAAGACTTATGTTAACAACAAATCTGAAGATTGTCAATTTTCCAGTATTAATACTTCTTTAATGCCGATATGTTTTTTTTTTCAATTCAAGTGCTTCAATGCCAGTGTTTGTTTTTTCTGCTATGTTTTTTAAATTACTGTTTCGTTTTCAGTGCTAAGCTTCATTTTTCAATTCCATAGATGTTTTTATGGGAGGATACGTGTTGGACCATTTCTTGACTGTGAGCAGAGATAGTGCTAAGCTAAGCCAACTTGGCTGTTGGCTCTAGCTTCATTTTAATCACACAGATAAGTGAACAACACCCATGAATTGGTCTTATAGACTTGGCTCCAACATGATGACTCCATATTATGAGAATATGGTGTGTCATTTACAGTACAGTAAGTAACTCCCATCCCCATCTCTCTCACTACATTCATCATCTTCTTTTCTCATTCTGGCTCTGTCTCTCCTCTCCGCTCTCATTCTATCTTCACGTCTCTGTTTTAACATCCTCCTTTCCTCTGTCTTTATCTTCTTGCTCCACGTTCTTCCAGTCGTCCCCTCTGACAGCGTCATCCTCCTTTTGTCTGCTTGGAGCCTCTGTCTACATTTCAGAGGTCAGAGGTTGTGAGGTTAACTCACGAACAAACTACGGCCACACAGAGGGTCTTTAGGTCTGTTATCTCCTACCGTGCGTTTGCTTGTATGTGCATACGTTCATCTGGGAACTCTCCTAATGTTGATGTTTCTGTACCAGACACTGATACTTGTGTATATTTAAAAGGTCATGAAAACGTGAATCCCCATTAAACGGTTCAGTTTCTCTCTGTGTAATTTTAGCAGCACCTCTCACTGAGTCATTATCAATACGCTGCCAATAAAATCACTACATTGACTACTGAGACTATAAGATCTAGGTTTGAGATGCAATTTACTAGCTTTGTCACCCTCTTCTTTTCCATTAACCCCCCCTTCCTGCATTTTGTGTTTGGTTTAAGACGTATAAATCTCCTCTGCTGGTCTTTGTGAAGTGATTTAAACACAGCAGGTCGTCTCTGTCCTGGTGCCAGTAAATGAGAGAGGCAGATAAGAGGAAGTAAGAATCAAAGATAAATTGGGACAAAAGTGAAAGAAGAGCGAAGAGTAAAGTGAGAGAAAAGATTTCAGGAAGGGAGAGATTTTACTCCTCGCTCCAGGTCTGTTCCTGAAATTGTAGGTCATTCCTATTGTGGACAACTGGATAGGAAGTATTTTTAAGTGTATTTGAATTTCTAATTTCTGTTATACCTGTTATGTATGAAAGGTGAGTCAGAAGCCCCTTACACACCACCTTTTTGAGGTGGGATTGTTATACCCTTATCCTGTCTCATTTTTGTGTGTGTAAGGCGCTAAGCCGCAATCTGGTCTGCCTTGGGAGGTAGTACCAGAGGCGAAACAAAGGGGAGACATGCTCTGTGTAGAAAGGGTGAGCTGGTAGTCTGGGATCAAGTGTGACATTTTGATGATGTAATATGTGTGTGACACTGCTACCGGCATCTCAAGTATGCACGCCTCTCTGCCTCAAGCTGTTCTTGGCTTATCTCTAACTTTCATTCCTGCTGTCACGAACACGTTGATTACAGTTATTACTCATGGCATTCGCACACATAGCAAGAAACACACTAACCAATTTTGCGTGAAGTGAAATAAATGTTTGACGATCCAACAAAGTTACATCTGCACTCATCTCTCCCACCATTGTTGTTTTGGTTTGTAAACTACTGGCGCAAAATTTACGTCACAGTTGACGCAGAGCGACGTCGCACCCCGCCTTTAGTGCGGAATCCCGGCTTGCTGTCTGAATTCACAGGCTAGCCCGCGATTATTCTCGCCTTAGATTGATCTGTATGAACAGCCCAAGGACGGGACATTGACGACCCTTTGGAACGACAGCGTTGCGGAATCTCAGTGTAAAAACAACTAGAGTTTTCACCCAAGTCTGCTGGCTGACAGATACCCAGTGCCTAATGGATATGTAAATACTCATGTGAAAGAGGCTGCAGAGACAGAAGGAGATAAAATCACCCTTTGTGAGCATTTATCTGATAAATAAAGATGAGATCAAGAATAAATGAAAAGAACTAAAGGAGGCAGTAAAAGAGAGAGGGGTTGCTTAATGTGCTTTGTAAACACAACTCAATGTACTTCTCAAGTACAGAAAAACTATAAGCAAGCATGCATCCACAAGTACAGTGTGTTCGTAATACACAGAAAAACAAACACTCTCCTGTTTTTTTTTCCTCTGCTGCTGTTTTGTGACTGTTTGTGCACTTTGTGTAGCAGGTCTAAGTCTGTCCTTAGGCCTTTGTGGCAGACCATGTCGACCAAGAGGACATCAAAAAAATGTACAACTGGCAGTGAAACCTCAACATATTCTGTCTGGGGACTCTTGAAAGGAATTCAGAGCAGCTTGGACGACGCAGATACTCTCATTGTTTGGGTCAGTTTGGTTTCAGGTCACTGAAATGGTAAAGTTAAACTGACATTCTTTTAATTTCTACACAGCTTTCACTCTCAATCATTCCTGTCTGAGAGTGTTACATATAGATAAAGCCCTAAAGAATTTCTTATATTGCATTTAGCCACAAAAGCCTCTTTGAAAAAAAAAATTCTTTTTTTCTCTTCGAATGAAAGGCAGAAATAAATCATAAAAAGATTAGATGTTTTATATTTACCAAGTTTAAGATATGTAATAATGCATAGATGTATTAAAAACATTCAAAAGAACCACAGATTCAAACCAAAGTGGCTTCTTAAAGGCTGCAGTGTTACATGCCATTGCTTGTGAAGGATCTGTCCTGAAACTTCCACTTGCTGCAGTGGGAGTATTGCAGCAACATTTTTGACACCCAGAAGGAGTGGCATTCTGACAAAAGTGAGAGTGGGCTTGTGAGGTAACTCAGGGACCGAGGTGGCCAAAGGGTGAATATTTTGGGGAAGGAATTTTGGTGAAGAGGGCAAGGAATGCTGGGAATGCCAGTCATGAGTTAGATCAGGGAAGGGTGAAGTTGCCTCGGGTCTGGAGGTCAGCCAACGACTCACAAAAACGAAAGGACCCTCCTCCTCTGACTGAAAGCATTTGAATTCATGTGTGTTTTGTGTGTGTGTGTATGATTACTTGTCTAAAGACCAGACCTTGTGTAACTTCGGATCTAGGGATCATTCCAATATCTAGTCACATCTGCCAGATGTGACTGGAAGTCATTTCAGAATTTTTCCACAGTCCTTATCCAGGACAGATTATTCCCAGAAAATGGGATGAACTATTCTTAATGTTCTCCTTTTCTTCATATTTGAATTCCTGACTGGAAAATATACACGATTTACAAGATAGAGGTAGCTGCTTTGGTGTGTATTTAGATAAAGATTGGATCAATCCATTTAGTAACAATGACAGAATGTCACTGTGAGGACATAAGGAACGATATTGCACAGTGTGCATGACCTACAACAAAATCGTCCATTCCTTTATGACATTAGCACTTAGCAAGCGGTAAACAAGAATAAAAGGTCATGGTTGTATGCAGTAAATGTCTTGCTTACATCCAGAACCAGTCACACTCACTTAAAATCAAAGCCAGCTCACCTAGTTTGGCAGTTCAGAAGCCAATGCAAACAACTTTGTGCATCTATCAAATGACTAAATTTACTGAACTGCATCCAGTTCCTGCACCTAATGCAGCCAGTTGTCATGTGGCGTCAGCCATCTTTGCTGTTTCTCTCAAGCAGTTACAACACCGTGTAAGACAGCGGCCTGTCTGACGACTGATCAACTGATCCCTCCTTTCATTCTTCTGACCTGCTCTCACTTTATTTTTCTCATCTTTTAGCACCCTAATCCCTCCAACCTGTCCCAAGCAGAGTGTCCCCTCTGTAGTGTCATTTTTCAGGGCTTTCCTGAAGGTCTTTGGGCTGCTGGGAATGGAGCCTGAGTTGTCCATTAGTTAGATTAGCAGCTTTGTGGGAAGGCTCTGGTTCCCTCTCCCCTGGCCAGGCCAGACAAAAGCTCTGGCCTCCCCTTTATTGTATGGCTGTCAGTTGGAGCTGGTCTCTGCCAGAAAAAACTAAGGACTCAGATGCACTGATAAGGTGCTATGTATGAGCCAGGTTGTGTTTCACTAACTTGCTAACACACTTGTAGAATGTCCATAATGAAAAACGACTAAAATTTGTGCTTTCTGAGTTTTTATTGTATCATCAATAATCCTATAACATTTGGATAATATTCCCGTGTTTGCTAATGCATTTAAATGTATCAATTAAAACTATCTCCTGACTCAAAGTTTTCTCTTCTTTCTGTCTTTTTTTTTAGCCTTTGCAGAAAAATGGACAAATCTCCAGCATGACCAGTCTGAATGGATGCTCTGAGGACAACACACTGGCAGAAGGTGTGTGGATAAGTGTGCGTCTGTCTTGTCACTACTGTTTATTTACAGTATTGCAGTTTTGGGTGCTGTTGGGTTTGGGCCAGTTATTCAGCAGAGGCAGAAGTTTATGCAATGTGGCCACTGCATAAATGCTGCTTTGAATTTGTAATAAAAGATGAAGGACATAAAAGGACTTTGTGTGGTCTTGGAAGAAGATACTTAAAGGACAAAGGGAACATTTTTATATCACAGTTCTTATAGTCGGTAAAATGTATTTCCAGTTACATTAACGTGTGCACTTGGCACACTAACCCGCGTTGTCCTTCTCCTGCAGCACCCTTCTATCTCCAAAGCTGTCTTTGTTTATTTTCTCTGTTGTTCTGTCATGTCTCCCTCAATCTGGGAGGGCTGCTGAAGCGTGTACACTCTCCCTAAATATTTAGCAGGCCGTGACCTCGGCCCCGCACAAAGCACCCTGCGGACTTCATAATATGTTGTGGCCTAGGGGAAAGAG